AGGCAATCAAAATTTTGCAAAAATAATTTTAATCTAAAGACTTGGTGCACGAAATCAATACAAAACTGATTAAAATTGAATCGACAAAAAATTTAGTTTAGCAAATCATTATTTGTTAGGGTATATTTATTGACAGGTTTTAAAGTAAAGATATTTCTAAAGACGTTGGGAACTAAATTATTTTTTCACATATATACAAAACATAAGACATTGAATACATTTAATTCATATATATTAAGTAATCCCATTTCGTTGAATAATTTTTTTTAAAAACCATCTTATACGAATTATTTTATATGTATTTAAATTTTTCTTCTTTTTTATTTTAAATAGTAACAACTCAATATGAAAATTGTGCTTATTATCTGATTTTAAATAATTTGCGAGGTGAAGTAACCTTATTCACTAATTTAAATGTTTGGCTTGAAAAAAAAAATACGTATTAGTATTAGTTACGTAATTAAGTATTAATATTTTAATATTGTTATATTATTTATTATATAGTTATATATATATAAATAAATATATATTATATATATATATATATATATATATATATATATATATATATATATATATATATATATATATATATATATATATATATATATATATATATATATATATATATATATATATATATATATAATATATATATATATATATATATATATGTATATATATATATATTACATAGTATTATACTATAGCGGCATAAAGTAAGTATACGATGGTGTATACTTACTTTATACTTGGTTAGCCACAGCATCAAAAATAAGTTTTTGCAGATCTGTATAATATGCTTTTTTGTTTTTCTTTGAAACCATTAAATTGCATTCTAATTTATGAAGTTTTTCTTTAAGAAGAAAATGGTGTATACTTCAATGGTGTATACTTACTTTATGCCGCTATTGTAGTATTTACTGTTAATATAGTATACGTTATTGTTAGTTATACGTATTAGTATTAGTAATAATTTCGTATTTGTATTAGTCACGTAAAAATAGTTTTACGTATTTAAAAAAAAAAAAAACCTCATGATTTACAATAGGAAAACTCCCTTTTCCAAGCCTTATTTAGATATGACGCATACCCAAATATGTTAAAGTTATGACCGAGGATAAGAAAAAAGATAACTTTTGCATTTTCACTACTATTTATATATATACCGATTTAAGCATTAACTATTTATTTGCATTTAAAATTAAGAAATACAAAAAGGTTGATACAGTTAATAAGAATTACAAAAAAGTAATATCAAAAAGGTGATACAGTTAATATCAAAATTACTCTTATGTAACACAAAACAAAAAACAAGTTAAAATAGTGTGCTATGGTGATAAACATTGTACTTTTTTAAATTTGATTTAAACAAAGTGGACGAGTAAACAATATAATCACGTAAAGAACTCCAAATCTTGATAATTTTTTCACAGTAGAAAAACCTTCGTGTACCATTTTTACATTTAATACGTGAACTAAGTTTTTGGACATGACATCTTGTAGGATAGTAAGAAGGAACAATGTTAAAAACTTAAGAAAAGGTAGATCGACAAGATTGTGTATAATTTTATAGGTCATTACAAGATCAAATTTTGTTTTACGGCATTCAAGAGATTGAAGATACTGAGTCTTGAAAAATAATCTTTAAGGAATACGACATCATTAGCTGACACTTCTAGTAAAAGATTTCTGAACCTTTTTTAACCCCGGTACATCTTTTAAAAGATGTTAAAAATTTTGAGCACATTTTTGTGGTAGATTTCGTTGAAAATTATTGTAATTTTTGAAACGACTTCAATTTTTTTACATTCAACCTAGCTTACTAATCAGTAATATAAACAAAAGTAGGAATTTGATTAGTAATAGGTTTACAATATGTATCACAACATCAAGACTAATTGAAGAACATTTGAAAAATATGTTTTCAGAAATTTTTTGTTTGGCGACTTATAAGTTCTTAAAAAATATAAAAACATGTTTTTTTAAAATGCTAAGACGTGCATCAAAGTTTTCGTTTCACTTTTCTCTCCAATATACATTAAAATGTTAAAAAAAGAAAAAAATGACTTTAAAATACTGGGTCGTATTTAGAAATTTTATGTGGATGCCCCCTCTTTTTACGGAGAGTTGTGACCCGTAATTCTTTTGGAATTCGAAATTTCTGTTTTTAGTTTAGCACTGTTCCGGTGAAGAAAAAGTGATTTCTTAAAATTAAAAAAAAAAAGCAGTGGGTTACTAACAGGGCAAAGGTAATTAGAGAAAAAAAGAAACGAAGATAATTTTCATTAAAAAAAAATCTGAAATGAAAATTTTTCTTGATGCAATTAGATTGAGCAACTCAAGGTTAAATTAAAAATTATTTCTTTTTTTAAAACACAACACATTATCCACTATTGCGTCATCACGTAAAAGTCCACCATTACGAAAATTTAGTAACTATGAAGTAAAATTTAACACATTTTACGCTAATTTTGGGTCCCATCTAAAAAATACATGTTTAAGTATAATACAATCACATAAATAGAATTTCTCAAAGCACATCATTTGAAAACATATTTTAAATAGTTAACTTAGTGTGCTAGTATTAAAGATTATACCGAAAATATACTTATTTATACTATTATACTGAAGATATATTACATATAAAAATATACTAAACATATCGCATGTCTCTCCAATATACTAATATTAGGCAACCATTTTGCATTTCTTAATTGCCAATTAGTCTGGAACTAATACAACGAAAACCATAAGTTTTTAAAAAAAAAAACAACAACAACCAACTGACATTATACTATTAGCTCAATCAGTAGTTATTTTAAAACATTGCTAAGTATGGAAATAAATCGATTAAATACCATAGGTTTAATACCTTACGTAATATCAGTCTTTTACTTTAAAATTAATACTTTTATTAACCTGCAGATAAAAATACCGTTTAATATTTTAAACTTAATATTATAATTATACCTAATAATTTATTTCATACAGTTTAAATTATAAATTCTTTATTACATTATACTCAAATCATATTTACCAACTTCTAATTTTCCAGCTCATCAATTTTATTACAACTAATATTTTTTTGCTGCTGTCTTTATCAATGTAGTTTTCATTAATCATCTCAATTAAGCTTCTAATAATATTTTTATTATTATCATTGTTACTATTAAATTATATAATTATAAGAGAAAGACGCCCATGATGGCATACTTAACTTTGAAGGTTCATTATTCAGTATCCTGTAGACCAAGAACAAAAGTTTTGATATGGAAACATTCTTTGTTACATGTAGAGCAATAATAACTCAAGGAGTTTTCATCAGTTTTAATTTTTTATTGGTTATTTTTATTTAAAAAAAAAAAGCACAAATATGCCATCATAGGCAACTACTGCTCCTATGATGGCACAGGGGAGGATGGGGCTGGTTAGTATCAAGGGTAACTTGACGATTTCATTTGACCTTAGAGCCATCCCTCAAAAATGCCAGAAATAAAGAGTAATCATCCTAAATAACCCTTTCGTGCTATACAGCAGCAGTGAAGAATTTCGCGCATGCGCAGAAAAGATAGTGCGTTTTATATGTTTTTAGAACCAAAATTTTTTTAGTGAATTAAAAATTCCTTTTTACTTTACTAACGAATATGTTATTTTTATGAAACAAAAAGGTTTTCTCCACTCGTCAATATTGCAACAAACCTAACTCGTCAGTATGCCATCATAGAAAGAAATCATTATTTTCATTTAAACAAACTGTCTGCCTTGTTCAAAAGATAAAATTAAAATAAGTAATCCACTAAATATACAAAACTTGGAAATAAAATGCATGAAAATTTCATTTCTGCACACTTAATAATAAAATCACAATCTTAAATATTTCAAGGGATTAAAAATACAACAGAACATCTCAAAATCGATTTTTGTTGATTATAAATACAATATTTGTGCATAAGGCATACGCATTTTTACTAAAACTAATGTTAAGTCAGTATAGACATGTTGGTTTAATCACTTTTTCTCCATAACCAATATTTATAAAAATATGACCGGTATGCCATCATAGGCGCCTTATCCCTACTTGTGATATAAATTATACTTGTGATATTATAATAACATTATCATTATTACTTTGTTATTTTTATATACTTTTGTTTATGGCAATAACTATTAATGTTTTTACTATTATTGTCCTCGTTAATTTTGTTTCAATGTTTATTATAAGTTTTATGTTTATTATAAATTTTCGATTTTTTAGTTTAAGGATCGTCCATTAAGAACGTACACTATTTTTTCGCTAACCTCCCCCCCCCCCCAATTTGCCGTACGCTTTTTTGAGTACTCTCTACCTACCTAAAAGTACCTTCACTTTTAACCTACTAACCCAACATTTTATGATATTTTTTAAATTAGCGTTTCCATACTTTTATAATTGATCTACTGCCCCCTTATCTCAGAAACGCCATTTGCAGACCTCCTTTTCCTCCCCAAGCGTACGTACTTTATGGACGATCCTTAAGTATTTACTTTAAGTTAGCTTTTTTACTATTTGTAAATATTCAAGAAATGCAATGAGAACCTTTTGCAGAATATATTTAACTAATACAATTATTAAGTAAAAAAATTATATTTATTTTCTTGTAATATTCTTTTAGATGGTGCTTTTTTTGGTTTAATTATCGAAGCAATTTAAACTTTTCAAAAGTTAGCATTGCAATAAAAACTAAATTACTTTTTCAAGATTTATATAAAATAAAGAAAAAGTATCTCATCTGTTGTTGCATATTGCCCCGAATCATCCTAAATGCTGAGTTTTTTTATAACGATGTTGCCATCTTTATTTTTCCCTTCGTAACATTTGTTCCTCTGAAACAAATTTGGTTATTACACAATATATTGTTTTATAAATTACATATTGATATATAAAATTGATTCTTTGAGCATGTAAGAATATGCAACTAATTGAATGCATATTTTATCAGACTTTTTAACAAAAATACTTAAATGCTACCATAATCTTTTATTATTTAAAAAATTATTCTTGTAACATTTGCTCTTCGTGATTGTTATTAGTTCTTGAAGCGATCAAACATGGGTTATAATTCCATTTTGGAAAAACTCTCTTAAATAAATTCATACAGACGGTATCTTGAGCTTTCAGCTGACCATCGAAAACGCATTTCATATGACCATGTGTGCCTATAAATAAAGAGCTTTATTTATAATTGGTAAAAAAGTGAAAGTATATCAAACCAAATAGAACCTCAGGACTTTAATCAGTCCATCTTTTTTATCTACAAGTTGTACATTGGTACTAGACCACACTAGTTCCTTCACTAATAAACGTCTTTTGTACAATATTGGCAGATAATTGAAGATAATCAATTGTGAAAAATAACGGAGAAAAATATCGTCTTTAAAGAAATAACTATTTTTCATAACCGAAATTACTGTTTTAAAACCAAAAACACTTTTCAGATTAATGGTTTTCAATTAAAGCTTTTTAATTGCTTCAAAGCAAATTTTGAAAATAAATAGTATTGAATATTATTTGGGATTATAGCATATATATGCTACAATAATAATTGTGGTTACTGCAAATATGTAAATAAATATAACCTAAGTAATGAATTTAAAAATATTTCTGGAAACATAGCGTACATTGGTTGTCAGCAGTTATTACGGGAACTTATTAGTTAATATAGTTTAAAAACTTTTTAAGCTATAAAAAAAGTTTGTCTAACTATAGATGTCGAGTTTCTGCATATTAATTGGTATCGCCCTGAAAGTTGAAACACATTAGGAACTACTTTAACTAGCATTTAAGTAGCACTGATAGATAAACTTCATTACCTAAGCTATCTATTTTTTTTTTGTTTATGATTACTTTTTTTATTTCTTCTGTAATGAATCCAATTTTTTAAACAACTAGCTTTGTTTTAAGTCAACCTAATATAGGCAAATTTTTAGTAGGCAATTTTTATAGTAGTAAGCCTCAATAGCTAGGAGATTATCTTTACTCAGCTATTGCAAAATTTAGCATCTGATTATATATAAATATATCAACACACACGCACATATATGAAGAACACGGGTTGATACACCGCAGATTTAAGGTAAGGGTTTAGGGTTAATTTTTAAATTAGAACCCAACCTTTGCCTTAACCCTACTTGGACCTGCCATAACATAAACCTTGCCCTCACCTGAATTTTTTTATTCATTTGTCGAGGGGTGCCTTGTTGCAAATGTAAATGTGACAAGTTCAAAAAAGTTTTTAAAAAAGAAATTTTTTTTCTTTTTTAAAAATTATATTTTTACTTAAATTTAGTCTTATTAAATAAAAATATTTTTGCATTGTAGTTTTTTGTATTATAATACTTATAATTAGTTTCTTAGCATAATTAGTTTTGTATAATTTATTTAAACAATTGTTTAAGTAAAAATATAATTTCCAAATAAAAAAATTTTTTTACCATATTTTCTATATTGTAATTAAATGGTATCTATCTTGACTTTTTATGGTATCTGACTTATCTTTGAATGATAATGGTATCCGACTCAAATTGAATGGACTCATCAATTTGAATGTTAATGAATTTATTAAAATTATGAATTTATAAATAAAAAAAAATAAAAATGTTGCATTAACAATAAACCAAAATAACTATTTGCATAAAAAAAATAAAAAACTCCTCCCCCTCTGCTTGTACAAATTTATAGAATCTAATTTCAAAAAAGTTGGGACCTACCATTGCTGCTTTTTATATACTCGCATGTAAGTGAAGAAATTTCTATTTCTTCACTTACATGCGAGTATATAAATATTATGCTACTTCAACTTTAATTTGGGTCATAAAAATACTAATTAATTTTAAACTATATTTTTATAATGATAACAATAATTCTTCATCTTTTATCTAGATTCCTTTTAATTTTATTTGATTATCACTTATAATTTCAATACTTTTTTATCTTTTTTTCTTCTTCAGATTTTTTCTTTTACTTTATTAATACTTATAATATTTTTTAAATGTTTTTTTTTAGCATTATGTTTTTTATTTATTTTTGTTTTAATTTTTTGCTAGATTTATTAGTTACATTTTGTTTCTTTTAAAACGTTCTTTCAAGACTTAGAAAAAAAACCTTTTACTGTTTGCAATGTCATTGCAAAGAACATTAGGAATATTTCAAAGCATCATTAACTAACAAATTAAAAACTTGAGAGCAGTGCAAATATAAAAGAAAGTTGGAATTTTTATAAAAATGGATTTAAACTACGAGCGGTAGAACTTACTGAAATTAATGGCAATTCAAATGCTGTTAGAGAAAAAATCACTAAGAAGTTTGTTTAAGACTAGCGATAATATAAAAAAGATATTACTGAAATACAAAAACAAAAGTGCAAAGAATAGAGATGATGCGTTTTTATGTCTGCAGAAAAAAATTGATATAGTCCTTCACAAATTTGAATGTGAGAATCCAATAACAGGTACACAAACTAAGGACAGTGCAAAAACTATAATACTTAAAACAACTGGGCGTAAACAAACTCAACTGCTGTTTTGACTTGCTTAGAAGGGGAAAATTAAATCTGCCATCATATATTCAAATGAAAAACTCTACCTAAAATTTGCCTAATTTTTATCGGGTGTTAGTGAATAAACAAGATACACAATTAAAGAGCGGTTTTCCAAAACTTGCTAAGTACATATTTGTAGTTTTGAGAAGTTTTTTTAGTTTATGAAAACATCTATAATGAACTTTTTGAATAATTATAGTTTATAAACTTTTTGAAGCATTAACATATAAAAGTAATTTTCAACCGAATGAGTTTTTTGAAAACCTAAGGCTTTCAATTATCTCCTGAGGATATAACACTATTAATAAGAATGCCTTCTAAGATTTACATTTTTCAAGTGCATTTTTCATAAAAATTTTAATTTTGTTTTGATTTTGTATTTATGAGTTTAAATAAGAGAATAAAAATAATATATAAGTTACAAAGATTTAAAGAATATACCAAGTGGTTCCTTAATGTGTCCTCTCCTTCCATATTTTGTAAACAGCTCTACTGGTTTAAACCACAAAATATCATCTATAAGAAAGAATTTAAGCGATTATATTTACCTATTATAAACACATTTAAAGTTTACTCATTATACTGGTCAACAACAACAAAAAGTTTTTGTTGCTGAGAAAATAATTTTATCACAGTTTTTATAAAGATTTTGGAAATATAAATGTTTTTATTTAAAACTATTGACAAAAAAAATATAAAAGTAATAAAACTTTAAAACACACTTAGATACACTTATGAAGAAATTTATTTAAAAATACACTTATATGCACTTTTGAAAAAATTTATTTTGAGACCCAGATAAGTAGGATTGCATATTTGAAACTATTTGCTCCACAACTGAAATAAACTTTTTCTTTGTTGACCAATGTTATTTTTATTATACATAAATTATTCAAAACTAATTATGCTAAGAAATTAATTATAAATATTATAATACAAAAAACTAAAATGAAAAAATATTATTTTTATTTAATAGGACTAAATTTAAACCTCTGTTGAAAAACATGTATCGAATAACACTAGATTTTTTATGTATTTTAAAAGGATGTCCACTAAGGACTATTTTTTTAACAATTATTCGATCTGGATTTGAACTTAAAACACTTCCAGTTGCAACTAATTGAGAGTTTTCATTAAAGACAAGTACTGGGGCTGGAGGATACATTATTGGTGCATAAACAGTTGAAACTACAACGCCATTTTGTGGAAGAAACCTCTCCATCTAACAAATAAATAAAAAATGTGAAAAAAAATCATAATATAAATCTTTATAATAAAGGAAAAGAGTTAATAAAAACCATTTACTTTAAATTTGTTTCCATTTGTGTGTTGTGAAAATATTGGAGAAGCAGAGAAACGCCGATATCCAACATGAAAAATAAGTTGTTCCTTGAATACCCAAGATTAATAATTAATTTAAAACCAAAGAAAATGCACAAAGAAAAAAAAATTAAAGTAAAAAAACAAAAACACACCTTTGCTTTTATTGGTGCATCAAACCCTTGGACTCTCCTTATAACATAATGCATAACAGTCATCTGAAAAATGTATAGTATTTTACTATTAATGTACATTAAAGTACTCAAATACGTGTATCATCTGTTACTAATTAATATATGACTATTTAGTTATTATTAAAAAAAGCTTTTTTTGTCAAATAATTAAAAGTGAGAATGGATTCGATTTTATATTAATCAAAAAGTAGAATATTTGTGAAAATCATGTTCATATGAAAGTTAAAAAGCCAATTTTTTGACTGGATTGTTTTGACATTTTTTGATCAAATTGGTAATTCCATCTCTATGCAACCCTTAATGTATTATACAATATTAAAAAAAAGTACAAACATTATTTAATAAACATCAAGAACATTAAAATTTCAACAACCTTGTGTTCATGAGGAAGTAAACCATACACTACCAAAGGACTGCCTTTATCGAGAGATTCTAAAAATATTTTGAAGAAATCATGAAAAATAATTCAGCATAATTCTTTAAACAATATGCAGCATAATTCTTTAAAAATAAACATATAGAGCATATAGATAACATAATAAATTATAAATAAAATTTAATTTTTAAGTTTTGCTATTGTATTGTAATTTTAAAGTTTTTCTATTATATATTCAACATAGATATAAATAACATAATGAATTATAAATAAAATTTATAATCCTGCAGTTTTTCTAATATATATTTAAATAACTATGTAAATATGTATATACAAGTATATGTGTACTTTTTGTTCCAACTTCTGTTTCCTTTATTTTGTATGGCCTTTTTCAGTAGAAAAAATTAAAGGACAATGAAAAAAAAACATTGCTGCCCCAACCCAAATTCTTAGCCAATGTTATATTTAGTTATTTGATATATATTTTGAAGCCTCCATCAGCCCCTTATTTCAATATGAAATTGAACTGCTTATCTAAGTATACAATAAAGTGTGTGTGTGTGTATATATATATATATATATATATATATATATATATATATATATATATATATATATATATATATATATATATATATACGCACATACTAGCAGTCCGGACCTGTAATACGGATCATGGACCTGTAATACAGATCATCCAGCCTGTGCCACACTTAACTTATTTTTTATATAGCCATTTTATTTCAATAACTTACTGTAACTGGTAGAAAATAAAATCCTTTAATATCTTTGCTCAAGTTAATGAATTGTAAAACTGCAAACTTCTAATAAAACAGTGGGAGAGAGCTTTTTTTATTTTTAAATAAGTTTCTATAAGGTTTTTTATTTTTTTGACCGTTGGGAGCTCATTACTCTTGCCCCATCTAATAATTTCGAAGAGATAAATTTTTATGTTAAATATTTTTATATTTAAAAAAGAAAAAGAAAATTGTCTCTTTAATGTGTGTTAAGCATACAGAATTTGCTTATTACATAAATAAATAACATATCCCGTTATCCCATCATAGATGATGGGATAATGGGAATGCGCACAAAATATTTTTTTAATAAAATTTTTAATTAGACACATATAAGTCAAGTATATAAGACGAGAATATATTAAAATCAATAATCTTAAATCATTGTTTAAAAAAAAAACTAAAATAATATATAAAAACTTGTTAACAATTAAAATTTATCAAATTAAAAAAAGGTTGCCACCCAACTAAAATTTAACATTTTGTAGTTTTAAAAAAATATTAAAAAAAAAAATTGCTGAACATTTTCAAAATCTTCGTCTGTATTTTAAGTAACTGCAATTCTCATTAATAAATAAACAAGTAAAACAGTTTCTAATATGATAAATAAAAATACCATTCTTGGTTTTTTTTTAATTATTCAATTTAATATAAAATATAAAAATAAGTTAAGGAAAAAAAAAAAAAACTTAGCATATTTTGAAACATTTCATTCAATATAATTAAATAGCATCAGTTTGGGCATCACTCAATACTTCTTGGAAATAGATTTTATTCTAATTTTTGTTTTGTAAAAGATTGCCTAAACTCATAGCTTATGGTACTCAGGCAACACACAAAACCATTATTGTGGCTGCACCATAATAAAGGATTCACTGTAAATACTAAAATTTCTTCTTTTTACCATGAGTCCATAGCTCTTTAAATAGCAATTTTTTTATTGTTGTTTTATCTTTAAACTCAATTTAGATTATTTGTTTTAAAATAAAATATACCAATTTTAGTTAAAATACACAAGTGTCATATGGTTTCAATTTAATTTGACACTTTATAGTAATATTAAATTTTACGAGATAATTAAAGCCTTCTTTGCACACCTTATATGAATATGCATATAATTTATTTTTTGACAACTTGGCCACAGCATATCCTATAATATTTTAATATCAAATTTAATGCTGCTACTACTGCTTCTTCTGCCGTTATTCATTTGAGTGTGTTTGCACTGAACTCACACCAGCCATTAAACTTAAGTTAATGGTGAGAAAGAATCGCAGCACTTTTGTATAAGAAAAAGTGAACAAAATTGTATGCAAATATCTAGCTTATGTAAACTTCAAATTATGTAATGTTAAAACACATATCAAGTTTTACAGTTTTACTTTTACTTGTAAATTGCACTGCGGCAACATCTCTTTAATTTTAATTATAACATTTATTTATTATTTTATAAAGTCTTTTGTTTATTAAGTAGTGTTAAAACATTCAGCATACAATTAGCTTTAATAGCTGAAGTGGTTACCTCGCAGCGATCTTAAGTGAAATGCATGATTCAAATCATTACCCTTCCACTTTTTTTTAAAAAACCTTTTTTAATGTTTTAAATTACAAAATAAATTATTTTTTTCAAATCCTGTCACTTGCACATTAATTTTTTTTTTAATTTTTTCTAATTTTCTAAAATACAAAATAAAACATTTTAAAAGTATATTGATGTTGTATACTATTGATGTTATATACATAACATATATAAAGATGTTGTATACTAACAAACAAAAGGGAGAGAGTTTTTAAAAAAGCTTAACATTTCAATTAACATCAAAATACTAGAAGCACATATCACAATAGTTATACTTAAGTTGTACTAAGGTAATTAGTTAAGTCTGGGTGATTAACATTCACTAAAGAGACAATTTTTTTTCTTGTAGGAAAAAAGATTTTATATTCAAACTTTTATTCTCTTCAAAACAGGGTAAGGGTACTAATAACTTGTAGATGATGCGGAAAAAAAATTGATAAAAACTTTATAGAAACCTAATAATGAAAAAAAAATTTGAGTCTGTACCCTTTCTATTATAGAAGTTTAAAAATTTATAATAAAAAGCTATATAGTATTGAACATTAATCGACTCAAAACAAAGATTTGACAGATTTTTATTTTCTACCAATTACTAAAAATTATTGAAATAAAACAATCTATATGAAGAATAAGTATTTAATAGTAATAGTCGTTGTGGACTTGATGTTACCATGTAAACTTAAATTAAAAATACCAAACTAAAGATTTAATAATTTTAAAAATTGTATATTCCAAAATTTGTTAAAATTTCATTTATCTTTTACCTATATATATATATATATATATATATATATATATATATATATATATATATATATATATATATATATATATATATATATATATATATATATATATATATATATATATATATATATATATATATGTATATATATCAACCCTTGGAATTAGGAAAAATGAGGTCGGCAAATTATTGCCGACCTCAATCTTTTCGAGGTTGGCATCAGGTGGGCAAAAATTATTTGATACAAAGGTCTGACCACAAAACACAGAAACAAGGTCGCCAATTTTTTACTGACCTTAACCACTTAAAGGTTGGCAGTTAGGTTGGCATTGCCGAATACCGACAGGCTTGGTCAGGAAGGCGTGCGATTTCACAGCTTTATATGACCAAGCAAATAGTATTTTGTTTTGACGATTTGACCACAGTTTTAACATTTTAATAAAGCGCTGAAAACTTAACTTAGTTATAAAGAAAATAAAAAAACAAACTTATTTTAAAAAAAGAAATAAAATCTTCTTAAAAAATAATGAAAAATAAAATAAAAATAGCTCAGTGAACAACTAAAACAAAGATAAAAAAAAACTTAACTAAAATAAATGATAAACAATAAGATAATTGCATTTGAAATAAATAACTTTGAATCTTTACTGTTTTTATAATGTAAAACTAGTAGTGTTCCATCCGCTTTGTTACCGTACCATATAAAATTATATTAATATTGAAAAATAAATAAACAAATAGAACTAATCCACAAAAAATTGACCTGTTGATGCGTTTTACAAAATTGATGAGTGACTAACGAATGTTTTTTCTTTATTATATAGACATAGCGAAACCCTTTTAAAAAAGTAACAACTTACAATGATTTTTAAATAAATACGCACATTAAAAACTTTTTTTTACAATTCTTTGTAGTAATGTAAACAAAAGAAAAATAATTAAATCTTTTCTTTTGTTAGAAATCTAATATCAGAAAGCAAATGAGGAAAAATGAAGATGAAAAAGAAAAATAATGAACAAAACTACTCCTTAAATTTATAATTTGATTTAAATTGGTAATAATTCTTTTTTATTATAAATATAAAATATTATTGAAAGACTAAAGAAAAAAATTATAAAAATTATTAAAAAAAAAATTATATTTATATATTTTTTTCAATTTGAATTCTTGCAAAAAGATTTGTTATATTTTGAGTATAATAACTTTAATGGATAATTTTTTTGATTTAAAGACGAAAGAAAAATACATTAATACTTTAATGTAAAAAAATCTTTAGCAGTGAATTGTTACTTTATTTAAAAGCATTTTAATAATATAAAAACATTAGTAAAGATCAAAGTTTTATTCAAACAGCTGTCTTTAATTCAAAAGTTTGTCTTTTTTTCTTCTAAACAAATTTATACAACTTTAACTTTTAAAGTATAGATGAAATTTATACAACTTTCATCAATACTTTAAATTAAAACGTTAACAGTAACTGTTACTTTATTTAAAAGCATTTTGCTAATATAAAAACATTAGTAAAGATAATAGTTTCAAAGTTATTTGTTTTTGACGTAATTAAAAATAATTTTTTTCAAATCTTTTTTAAACCGTGGTCAAATCGCCAAAACAAAGTATTATTTGCGTGGTCATATAATGGCGTGCGATCCTGGCGTACGCCTTCCTGACCAAGCCTTTACATTAACTTCACATAAAGTTAATGGAAAGGTAGCAAGTAAAGTATGTTTTTACAAGCAGGAATATTGATCACTTTTAACAACTCAGTAATATCAAAATGAACATCACCTATTTAAATTTAACCAAAAGGCTTTACATAAATGAAGTTCAGAAGGTCAAAACACGGTAATTTAGTAAATTTGTTCCACAAAAATCACTAAAAGATAATGGAGCCCTTCTAGTGTCACAAAAAAATTGAAAGACTGAAATCATTTTTGTAGGAACTAGCACAAAGTTCTTAAAAAGAATCCAAATCAAAAGTAAACTTTTTCCACCCAGCTTCTACAATATTTGTTGCTTGGTAGGTAAAAGTTTAAAAAGTAAGATGAAAAGTATGCCAAAGATACTTAAAAACTTAATACTTTGAATTTTCAAATTACACAAATGGTTTTACTAATTAAGGATATTTTTATATTTTGGTAAAAGGTTTTTCAGATTTTTCTTTAGATTTTAAAGATAAATATGAAATACTTTTTGACAAAATATAAAAAAATCCTTAACAAGTAACACTATTTGTTCCAGCTAAAAAACTGATAAATTTTCTTATTGAGCTTTGAATCAACAAACCATATAGTTAATAATAGTTGTTCTTTACTTTAACTGTCAGAAGCTTCAGCAAAAATAGAAAAATGTTTAAAAACTTTAAAAAAAAAAATATTTAAAAAAAAAATAAAAACACTTTTTTACCTGATGGTATATATGGTGACTTAGATAGGTAAAAAGTATTTCTTAATATTATTTGATAATACCGATGGTTATCTTGAAAAATGTTATAACCAGCTTTAACACGGAAATGTTGCAAACACTTTTTTTAAAAAAAAAACTAAATACATTAGTCAAGTCAACTTCTTGTAAAGATACAAGTAGACAAGACTCGTATCTTTACAAGAAATTATATTTTTCTCTAAGTTACTTTTCAAAGAGATTAGTTTTATTTTGGCATTTTGTAGCATGATGTTTTTAACTTTATGATTAAGTGAGATTTTAGACTAACACTTTTAGCATCTATCTATAAGTGAGATTTTAAATCAAAAGTAAACCTTATATATTTTAGGGTGTACGTGTTGGGGGACATCTAACAGGGTTTTTTTTATAAATAAAATCAAGTACTTAAAAATTAAATATTAAAATGTTGAGAACGTCCATTATTCCATTTTGTCATGTATTAATTGTTAAAGCATATTTCAACTCCTGATTATTGCAAAACAAAGGATTTTGACAAAGATTTTACTTAGGGTACTTTATGTACGTTCAAAATTTGTTATAAGTAAAGAAATTAAGATCTTGCTTTTTTTAACAAAACAAATAAAAATTAAAATAATTTTTTTATTGTTTAATAAAATAATATTGGGGATGTCTTATTAAATATTTTTTATAATGTTCTTATTAAATATTATTTATTTATTATTCCTTTTACCTCTAGTTAAGAAATATATTTTTATAAACTTGAAAAACCGCTCTAAACAAGAAAGAAATTATTTTTTTAAATTTTATATCTATAAATCCAATAATAAAACTTAAATCTAATTTACTTGACAGTAAAGTAAAAATTTTTTTTCATACACAATAACTTTTCTTTTTTTCTAGATTCAATTTTATTTTTGGGTACATCTACAGATGCACTAGACGTACCCTGCCAGACATACCCTGATACAGACCCTAGATCCGCCCCTGCAGAGTTAAAGATTTTTAAATATTTAACTGTATTCAAAAAAATTTACTTTTTGTCTATAGAATATTTATACAACACAAATCTTTTAACTAATTCATTACCTAAGTAAATCTTTGGTACATTTTTAATGTGAAGAGTTACATACAAACCAGCCTAAATATAGTAAAAATAAAATAAAAAAACATTTTTTGATTTTAATATTTTTTCTGAAGGATTTTAAAATTTTGTTACTTAACAATAACAAAAATACAGTTACAATCTATAACAGATAAGCATTTTGTACATTTTTATATGAAAAAAAATGATAAATTAAAATTAAAATGTTTTTATTATATACTGTATAAATATAAATCATGAGAGTAATATAATAATCACATAATAATCTTTTCCTGTTTTTTTCTCTGTTGCATATAAACATCAAGTTGCTTGTACATATCAAGTTCTGGTACATATTGTTTTAATAAAACCATAAGTTAAGATAGTTAAAGCTCAGAAACAATGTCAGGATATATTGTGAAAAATGCAGCCCACCTTATCATCTTTAGCATATGCCTCATTTATGATAGACAACTACTACAAGCTCAACATTAAAAACATGAATTTTATATGGAGCTTGAGTGTGTCATTTAATGAGTCAGTAGATAGTGACGATTGACATTTTTATGTATGACAGCTTTCTTAATATTGTCATAATAAAACACTTTGTAAATATTTTAACACAAACTGAGCTGAAATATAAGTTCTACACAAAAAACAAATATAAAACTAACAATAAATTAAAACATTAAAACAAATGGTGTTTAAGTATAACCTAGTAAAATCAGAAAATCAAAAAAAATATTGTATATATAGATAATACATAGCAAATTAATTAAAGTTTTTTAATTAAACAGAGTGATAAAAGTTGTAAATAAATCACATAAACTTTTAATTGTTGTTAAATTTTAATATTTTTTTTTTCATCAACATGTATTAAAATCAACTTGCTAAAAACAACAACCACTTCAAAAAAAGAATACAAAAATTGTATAAAAATTTTATATAAAAAAATTTTTTTTTATTATTATTAAATTTTTTAGTTTATTTAATTAAAACTTGATATTTCATTAAAATTTTGTTTCCTTTTTATAGGTTTGTTTTTTTTTCTCAGTAGATAAGCTTAGCTTTTTGCTGCGAATTATTTAAACACTTTATAAGTTAAAAGATGCAAACTGCCATGGTCAGTGTGCCTAAAAAAATTACTTTAAAAGTGGACAAACTAGGCATGCAACCGCACACGCTTTCCAGGAATGCTTGAAATCTGATTTTAAAATACATTTGGCATTAATTATAATATAAATATCGAAAATAAACAGTTTTCATACATCAATTAAAGAACTATCTTCTTTAACTTTTTCTTTCAAGACCTTTCTTTTACTATGGTTGAAATTTTGAAATTGAAATATTCTAAAGAAAAAAAATTATTAATTAAAAACTTTGTAAAAAAATCTTATCTCTTCATAACTTCTAAACGATAGTTGAGGAGTTATGAAGATATTGTTTGATCATTTCATATGTAACAATATTGTCATCATCTATATGTAAGGTGACATGCTATGCCACTTGCAACATTTTTTTAATATATTTAATTTGTAACAACTCAATTGTTTGTAAATACCATAATAAACTAGATTTATAATTATGATTATTGTTATAGTTGTTGAAAGAAAGTTACTGTTTTAAAAAAATATATATTTTTTTGGTATATCAAACTGTCTAACAATAAACTGTAGATACCTTGCGTAATCTAAAGGCAAATTTTCTTTAGGGTCCCATGGTGATGTACGAAAACTTTTTAAACCACGGTACCTATAAAAGTAAAAGAAATAGAAATCAAGTAAACTAACAACTTAGAAAATTGTAACATATAATCCAGAGATACAAAGAACAGGAGACAGCAATCCTGAAATACAGAGACATCTCAACCTTAAAAATCGATCTTTTGCTGGAATATCCATGGGAGTGTCAATTTCATCTGGAAATAATTCATTTTCGTGTTCCAATCTGTATTTCTCTAAACTATAAACAAATGACATCATACTTATAACACTACTTATAACACGATTACTTACAACACGATTAATGATTTTTTGATAGCACAATGAAATTTTTCAGAAAACTTTCAATAATGACATACGCTTTCTTATCTTCATCAATATCAAAATGGTCATCATATTTATCATCATCTGCAACAGTTGTGGCAGCCATGCTTATCTATAACAATAATTAAAAAATGTGCAGCTAAAAAATCATAGAAGATAAAAAAAAAATAGTGGCTTAAAAAACTATGAAACATTAATTCAAAATAATTCAAAAAGATAGTAGCTTAACAAACAAAACATTAAAAAAAAAAATTTAAATAAAAATATTTATAAAAACGAAAAAAAGTGATGAAAACCTTACATTGTCAAAGTCAGTATCTGGTTTGCTCTAAGAAAAAAAGAAACTTTTTTATTGAAGTTTTAAAATACCAATTTTATTCTTTTATAGTTAAAAAATAATAATAATAATAAAATAAAAATAATAAATAATATATAATTTTCTCATAAATAAAAATTAAATAAAAATATATAATTTTTATGAGAACTTCATTTTATATAGAATAAAAGAATTTTTTTCTTTTTTCCAGTAATAAAAGTCCTTCATATCTTAATAGAACCTAACCAAACCCTCAACTTATGTATATAATAAAGCCCCAACAGTTGACTATTTCAGTATGACATTACATGCAACACTAACCATGCAAACACAGTTGTATTTAGATCAAACTATTTATCAATATAAAGTCTAATAGTTCCGAACCCTTTAGTCAGTTTATTTTTAGTAAATTGAAAATAAGATATAAGATTAAACTTATCAAACTTTTTTTATTTAGATTTTAGTTACATAAAAGTTACAGAGAAAAAACTTTTTATTACACAAACACAATAATGGTACCAATTAAATATAATAATAATTTTTCCGTACCTTGCCCTGAATACAATTTCTGAATAAAATATTGATGATAGAATACTGAAACAGCCACCTGCAGACGCTTCAGTAAATATATAAACTGAGAGTTAGGGCAAATACTACCTAGATATAAAGAACTTTTTTATGACAAAAAAAATTTATTTTCATTGTTTATTTTTGATCTGATGATGTGCTCTTTTTCTGAGAATTGTTTAGATTTTATGGTCTGGATAAAATATTTGCCTTATGAAATAATATTAATTTAATATAATCCCTTTAGGAAAAAAAAAAATAATGTAAAGAAAATTTATTTAAAAAAAGTTCTCAATAGTTTATATGTAAATATATTATAAGGAAAACAAATGTAAACAGGAAAAAAAAAAAATATATATATATATATATATATATATATATATATATATATATATATATATATATATATATATATATATATATATATATATATATATGTATATATATATGTTTTTCAACCTTATTATTCTAGATCTCTTAATTTTAGTTTTTAACTTATCAATTATATATAATTTATAACCTAATAAATTAATTATTTATTATAAATAAAAATGTATTAGTTTACTGGATCTTCATTGTCATCTTCAACCATTCTAAATTCATCATCATCATTATCACTACTATTGCTGTTTTCCTCATCATCAGAATCATCTTCATCAAGAATCCATGCAGCTTGATAATCAGATGTTCCTTTGGAAGATTTCTTTTTAGCATTAGTATCAAATTCATCATCATTTAGCATTCGAGAAGCTTCTAGAAAAAGCCATTAAAACAATTTTGTATATAAAGAACTTTAGATAAAAATTTCTATATAAATATAAAGATTTACTAATGCAAAATTAATATCCGAAAAAGATAAAATAAAATAAGATAAATATAAAAAACTGAAAAAGATAAAATTTATTTTTGAACGATTCGAAATAAAAAATGGAAACTTTATGGAGAAATAATAGTTCCCGTAAATAAAATTTGCAAAACATACAAATAAAATAGTATTTTTGTTTAAATTATAAAAATTTTTAGTTTTAGAAAGTAATTTATTTAATGTTTGAACGCTCTTACAATTTTCTTCTGTTCTAATTAATAATAGAAAATACGGAAAACAAACTTTGACACATTCAAAATATAGTTTTATTAATATTTTAGATAGTTACTTTTCTTTTTGTAGAATTCTTAAATCAATTAAAAAAAACAACAACTAGAACTGCCAATAAAAATCGTTAGTCACCTCAGCAACTTTATTGCATCAAAGGAATATTTTTAGTTAGCAAAAAACACAATGTTATTTATAAAAAAGCACTCTATTTGTATTCTACAAACAGAGTGCTCAATGTTTTTAAAGAACAGAGCAATAATAATTTAGTAAAAACATTTATCAATTTTTTGTGCTTTTCAACAGCATGTTACACCATCAGTAGGGTTCATCAGGAAGAATATATATATATATATATATATATATATATATATATATATATATATATATATATATATATATATATATATATATATATATATATATATATATATATATATATATATATATATATATATATATATATATATATATAAATGTACACACACACATATATACAGTGTGCAAAATTAATCTTGGCCCTCTGCATATGCTAAAGGTTTTCTCAAAAAAAAGATGTTAATTGAGATTAAAAAAAGAAATCATAAAAAAAACATGAAAAAAACTTTTATTCATCATCTTGCAATAGCAAGAATTAAATATTCTTAGACAATTTCTCACAACAAACATTAACATAAATATAATCAAAATTATTTTATAATAGTTACATCAGCTTTATATAATTAACAGATTGTGTGATATCAAAAAAGTGAAAACAGAAATTTCCTTATAATTTAGAAAGAATTTTTAATAAAAAAGTTATTTAAATTAAAAAAAGTTAGATTATTTTCTTGGTTTTTCTTCCTCCCTTTCTATTTTTTTCTAAATTATAACACTGCATCAAAAAAGTTCGAAAAGCATACGCTTAACTTTTTTGTCATAAGGCAAGTGAAAGCACAATTGTAAATGTTTTTTTATAAATGGTACTTGAAAATTTAAATATTTGTATGTCACAAAAAAGCGCTGGTAAAGTAATTAATTTAATTTTTTTGTTGTTGTTGCAACAAGTAGTGTTTTTTGTTTATTTGTAATAACTTTTTCAATGTAAAAATTGTAATTATTTGCAAATCCGCTTTTTTAAAAAATAATGAAAAAAAATTAACATATTTTAATTCATTTATATAAATGTAAAGAAAAGAAAAAAATTAATTTATGTTAAATAATAATAAAAATGTAATATTGAATTTAATTATTTAATATTAAACAAGAAAAAAAAGAAAGTAGAACATAATACACATTCCACAATATGTACGTTTAGAAAATAACACTTCTAGATTTTTCTTAATTAGTAAAATAAACTTGTTTTGCTCTAACTAATTTTATTGCGGTAATTAATATAAAATGTCCTTAAATAAAATAAAAAATAAAGATAATTTTATAATGTCAAAATCACGGCGAGCTAATGTGAGCTAATGCTTAGCTGTTTTTTATTTAAAACAAGGCCTATATATATATATATATATATATATATATATATATATATATATATATATATATATATATATATATATATATATATATATATATATATATATATATATATATATATATATATATATATATATATACACACACACATATATATACATACACACACATATATATATATATATACATATATATATATATATATATATATATATATATATATATTTAGTAAAGATATTATAATATCGAAGCATTGATATATAATATAAAAAGCACTATGTCATTCTCTTTTGCACAAATGTAATGAATGAGCAGTTTGAAGTCGTTAAAAGTCACTAATTTCAATAATAGAATGTGCATGTGGAAACACAATGGGAATATAAAAATGTGCAAATAAAATAAGAATAGAAAATTAGAAAAATGTTATAAGAAAATTGAAACTGCAGAATATTTTTAATCTTATGAAAATATCAAGTAAGATTTATTTGATTAATTGTTTGTAATATTCCACTTATCGTTTATAATAAAAATAAATGTTAATAATAAAGAAATTTTTAAAATTGGTTTTTGTTCATAGTATAGATTCTTTATTAACTATTATTTATCTTAACTCAAATTTAAAACGATTCTGTTGTTTAGAATGTTCGCAATCAAGGACATTCCAAAAGGAAATAAAGTAATGATGTCAACATTTATTAGATGGAAAGTTGAAGAGGTAATAGGCTTTAGAACTGAAATTACCAATAGAACTATATACGTTATTAAAATTTACTGCAAAGTTTGTACAAGAAATAGAGAAGCAGTATTACAAGGATGTAAAGGTTTGATATGACAATGTGCTTTACGGTTTATCGATGGGACAAACTATGTGTCGATCCACACAATTCAAAGACATTTTAAAACAGCTTCTCACCTTACTGCAATAAGGAGTGAGAGCAAGAAACCCTCAAATGAGCGATGTGTTATGTCAACCGATGGAATACAAAATACAAAATCCTCAAAGGTAATTAATAAATTATTCTCTTTGAAATAAAGATTTTTGTTGCAGGCTTGATCAGGAAGTCATGTGATCGTACACCATTAATATATTTTGTTTATGTATATAGTATATGTGGTTCAAGTTGATGATGATCCAGTTGATTATACGACAACAGCAACAACATTGATTACAAATCAAATTCTTGATGACGATGATGAAATAGACAGTGCTAATGAAGACATGACTGACGAATTAGCTGCATTCAGTTTCGAAAATGTAGAAGAGGAAACACCCTTGACAACAGTTGAGGGGAAAATCTGTTATTTAACTTATAATGAATAGTTTTTAAAAAAAGCAGATTTTCAAATTTTTCTTGTGTTATTTTTATAAAAAAAACGTAATTTAAATAAGAAATTTTAGAAAAAAAAAAATTAATAATTAATTTGAATAAAAAATATAAAGAAATATAAAAACCATTAACTATTAATTAAGTTTACAGCGTAACATTTTTAAATAAATATATATCAAAACAACGTAATCAAAAAACTAAAATTATACTTCAATACTAAATCAATAAGAAGTTGCGTTTTTTTGTTTGATATATATATTTTTTTTACCATAAAACGTTAAAAAAAAAAAAATCGCAATCTAATGCAAACCATATTGCAAGAAGTTTGGAAGTATAAAAATCTACTTCGTTGAAGTAGTTTCATAAGCGTGATACTAATTCCAACATTTGTTGACAATAGAATGATGTAACAAATAAAAAAAGATAAAAAATATTCAATTTTCATGATTACGCTCGAGCGCACATAATCACACTCGATTAAAACATATTCTAATTTTATGAGCGCGATATAACACGCTTGACAATTTACTTCATCACAAGCCCTGTATATGTATATATGTATATATTATATATGTATATATATGTATATATATGTATATATATGTATATATATATATATATATATATATATATATATATATATATATATATATATATATATATATATATATATATATATATATATATATATATATATATATATAATGAGTAGTCAATTTAAGGAAATGTAAAATAACATACACTCTATATTTGTAATAAATACTCAAAAATAACCCCTTTAAATATTTTAGCTTAACTATACCAATAAAACCTTACCCCTTTAGCATTTTTTAGGGAAAAAAAAGTTCTCAAAAATCATCAAAAGCCAATTTTACAGGTTCAGGGGAAAAGTTAAAAATTTTTTTATTTCTGCAATGTTTATTTTTACCTATATATTCCAATTTTTGTTTGTTTTTTGAATTAATAAAGTTACAACATTTTCAAGTGTGAACAAGTGGTGTTTATCTTAAACATGTTTTGTGCACACTTCGAAAGGTCAATAAAACATAAGTACAGTAGAATCAATAAAATATAGTACAGTAGAATACTATTAACTTGGACCCTGGGTAATTTGGACTTTTATTAAGTCAGATGAATTTTCAATTCCCCTTAAACTTTCTCTATCAACTTACGATAAAATCATCTGCTTAAGTCATACACTGGTTAAGTTGGACCTCTTAGCATTTTGTACTGTTTTTTGGGTCCCTTAAGCAAAAAATTTTGCTTAACTAGGATTTTTTTTTTGAATTGCATATAAATGCATAATAACAAAACTTTAAATACTTTAATTAAAATTCCAAACTTTAAATGTTGGAAAATGAAATATCGTCATATATAATTAAACATAATTAAACATTTTCACTGATATTTTGATTTGGTTAAGCTTTAATTAAGTTCTATTTATTAATAACTATTATATTAAAAATTCAAAGATATCAATTAAAATTTGAAACTCAGAATATTCAAAAGTTAAATACCTTTGTAAAAATATTTTTTAATATCTTCGTATATGTATATGTCATACTATATGTGGCTTTTAAACATTTGACACCAAAACATTCCTGTGTCATTGTGTCAATAAGTCTCAAAATCTCGATAAGTTGGACATTTTCAGAAAGTCTGACATAACAAGAGCTTCACTTGATTCAGACATTCGTCAGATAAGTCAGATAAGTCAGATAAAATGTATAAACCTCTTCAGGTTTATACATTTCAGGTTACCAGGATTTTTTTTTTTTTAGTTTTTAAACTCACCTCCTCAAGGCTGAGAAGGCCACTACAGACGAGGAGGCTACTTATTTTAAACCTCTATCAACTCTATAACTCCGAAACACGAACCTTGACGAACAAGGCTGCTGCGCGGAGAAACAAGTTGAGCGCGGTACTACCAGGGATGTGGTGGGGATCGAACTCGGAACCACTCGTTTATGAAGCGAGCGCTCTACCACTACACCACTACCGCATATAATTCTACTGTAATACATTTTATTATGTATCTCATACCTTTTAAACATGTCTTGTGGTTACTGGGTTAATAATTTTTATAAATTAAATTATTATAAAGTGCCATTAGCCTGTGAATATTATTTAGCATAAAAGCAAACTGTAAATTCACTTAGAATTTTTTTTTAAAAACTCGTATTAGTTGAAAAGAGGTAGTACAATGCTTTGGATAGAAACTTAGCATGATGAACTGCTCCTAGTTTTCTTAGTTTTACAGAAGATGGAGAATGATAAAAAGCTCTGCAAGCTCCTTCAAATCTTCTCTGATAATATTTATTTATTTTCTTTTATCTTTGCAATGTATTCTTGACAACAATTCAAAGACTCTATAGCAGATTTCTCAAGAAAGATTCCCTTTACTGCTTTCCAATCAAACTTTATTAATTCTGTTTAAACATATTATAAGATTATTTGGTTCTGTGTAATGTTCATCTGAAACTAAATTACAAAAATGAACCATTCTCAATTCACATACATGATGCCTGCATATAACTAAATTTTTGAACAGTTTTGTGTGCTTTAAATCCATACTAAAAAACTGTATTTTAAACCCATGCTAACTACAAAATTATTTATTATTATTTTTTTTTAATCAAAGTCTACAAAACATTTTTTATTCAAGCATAGAATATCATATTGCAGAGAGGTGATCTTTGATTCACTAATGAGTACTCTGGAGAGTCTCTTCATTAAAAATTTTCAAGGCACAAATCTTAGACTATCATCATGACTCCTACAAAAAAAAAAAAAAAAACATGTTTTGCTTTGACAATAATGAAAAGATATAATTGTTCAATGATATATTATTCAAATATATAGCAATAAAAATATATATTATTAAATATAAAAAAAAACTGTCTATTTTCTATAACAATTATTATTATTGTTAATAATAAAATCAATGTAAATAAGATTTTTTTGACACAAAGCCAACAATATTTGTAAACAATATATGCATTTCAGTTTGATTATCAATTATCATTAGCTAGCTCTAAGTTTCTATTCCTATATCAAAAATATACTATTTACCCTGAGCATCTTTGATTTCTTCTTCTGTTGGCCAAGTTTGCTCTCCCTCCATATGATCAATATCAGCTTCCACTTTTAAAGGTGTTTGTTTTAAAGGATCAGCAACTGCTAATACTTTTATTTCCTCTTCCATTACAACATCATGTTCCTAAATATTTAAATTGAAAACATCAAAACTTTCTAAAATAACAAAAATACCTCAAAATTTCAATTTATACCGATTGCCCATGAAAATAAGATTTTTAAAACCTTTAGCACATTTTAAAACATTTTTCAAACATATTAAAGAAAATTATTAACATTTAAATAGTTTTAAACTTTACCATCGACTGTGTTCTGGATTTTTTACTAGCATACGGATCAGTAGGAGCATCAATCTTGAAATAAAATATAAACAATAACAATTATAAATATCTGGAAATAAAATAAAAATAGTAAAATTATATATATATATATATATATATATATATATATATATATATATATATATATATATATATATATATATATATATATATATATATATATATATATATATATATATATATATATATATATATATAGGTTTTATAACAATGTATAAATTTACTTGATTTAATTGAAAATCACCAAGATCAGGAAGATGAATTAATCCATTGACAGATAGAGGTTTTCCTCTTAAGAAACCTGAAACTTTTAAAGTGCCATGATTTTCTTTGATCTAAAAAAAATGCTAATTAATTATTTTGTTTAATATTATATGATTAATAAAACCTATGAAAAAATTATTTTTAAAGATAATACAAAAAAAAAAAAAAAATTTATTAAGAAATTTATTATTTATTTTCTGCTATACATTTTAAACTAACTTTATGATTTGAAAAGACATTTAAATAAACATTTACTAATGATGATTGTCTGTCAATCAAGTAAATATAAATAATGTCTAGTTTAAATAAATACTTTATCACACTGAATAAACAAATAGTTGAATAAGAATTTAAACCCAAATCTTATATCAGTAGCTTTAAATTTTAACATGTAGGTTTATTTTTCTTAAATTTTTGTCGTTTTTAGATTTATAAATCTCTCTCTCTCTCTCTCTCTCTCTCTCTCTCTCTCTCTCTCTCTCTCTCTCTCTATATATATATATATATATATATATATATATATATATATATATATATATATATATATATATATAATATATAATATATAATATATAATATATAATATATAATATATAATATATAATATATATATATATATATATATATATATATATATATATATATATATATATATATATATATAATATATAATATATAATATATAATATATAATATATAATATATATATATATATATATATATATATATATATATATATATATATATATATATATATATATATATATATATATATATATATATATATATATATATATATATATATTTAAAAATTGTACAAATTTGTTCATCATAAGATTAAAACCTTTTATTAACAAACATCACAATAATGATATTTTGATGATACATCTAAATAATGGTAAAAAATATAAATGACGGTACATATAAATGTATTTTGTCCTGTTTTGGTTTCTTCACAATATGTCAGAAGTGTGACCAATTATGACCTGGATGAAGAGGAAGCATTATTTCATTTCAGAAGTAAAAATAAATATATTGCTTACAATTCTGTACTAATTTTTTAATCATTAAAATTTTCTTTGTATTATTACTAGTGTCAATTTTGCTCCAAATTTTTGTCAACAGGGGTTAATCTTTTTGTATGTATGTGTGTATATATGTATACAAATACATATGGAAGGTTTAAAGCACAAAAGATATATCCACCTTTTTGGACAATAAAACATTTTATCATTCATGACATTTTGATCATAAATATTATTAAAAATATATAATTAATGACATTAAAAATAAAGATTACAATTTCTATACAATTAAAGCTAATTCATCTAATGAAAATATTTTTCGTAACTTATCTGATGTGTATCAGGATGCATTAATAAAGTCTGGTCACAAACTCAAACTTAACTATATTCCAAAACTTATCCAACCTCTATCAAAAAAATCATAGGCGCAATATAATCTGGTTTAACCCCCCATACAGTAAAAATAATTCTACCAAAATTGGTAAACCCTTTTTGAATTTAATAGACTTCAAACACTTCCCAGCTGGCCATATATACCACAAGATTTTTAATAAAAATACTCTAAAGGTGAGTTACAGTTGTATGCCAAACATCAAATTAATAGTTAACTCTCATAACTATCTATCAGCGCTTGAAATAGTTTTTCAAAGCTTGCCAATCAAATGTAATTTTTTCCACAAAAACAGCTTATTTTTTTCCTTGAATTTTGCAAAATTTCCCTAAAAATAACTGATCATTGATCGTTGATTGGATGTTATTTTGAGTGCTGTCATATAATGAAAAACACCTCTGATTCCAATAAACATTGCAATTGTATTATTAAAAGCAAGTGCCCTCTAAATCAAAAATGCCTTGTAAATAACAGTGTATCAAGCCACATTGTACCCAGCCACTCTGTACAGAAATGAAAAAGTGTATTTTGGAGTGAGTGAAACCGCATTCAAACTTAGATACGCTAACCATACAAAATCTTTTAATACTGAAAAATATAAAAATGACACTAAATTATCTAAGGAAGTATAGAGGTTAAAAGAAAGTGGAGTAAGCTTGACAATTGAATGGAAAATTGTAAAACATTGTAGATCTTACAATCCCACAGTTAAATGTTGCAACCTTTGTTTGTTTGAAAAGTATTTCATAATATCTTACACCAATGACAACTTATTAAATAAGAGGAATGAATTAGTTTCTAAATGTAGATATAAAAGCAAACTTCTTCTTTCAAAGTTCGATTCAGGTGATTAGGCAGCCTTTTATAGTTTTTCTTTTTTCTTTCTGTTGTTTTTTGTTATGACAATGGAGCACACTTCATTGTAACTTTATATTTTAATGGTTTTTTTTATTTCTTGATTTTGTATTACATGGCCAATGATTACCTTTAGGCATGAAACTATTAGTACCATAAAAAGTTAAAATTTGTTACTATTAGTACCATAAAAAGTACAAATTTATATATATATATATATATATATATATATATATATATATATATATATATATATATATATATATATATACATATATATATATATATAACATCAAAATATACTAACATCTTCCTCAACAAATTCCAAATGTTCTGCCATAAGATATGGTCTATGCTCTCGATAATGTATTGACTTGGACTTTTTATTGATCAACAATCGTATAACAACTTCTGCATCCTGAGGATTAAAAATAAAATCAATACAAAAACAAACCAATAAGTAAAATTTAAAGAGATTTCATATTTTTAAGGGATTTTGAAGTACTACAAACATATTACTTTATTTGGGGGAAGAAAAAAGATTTTTACCAAAATGTAATAAAAATGTGTAAATGTTAACAATTTTATAATCAAAAATAAACTTTCCTTCATTTGCATCTTTTTCAAAAGTGTATTTACTCAATTATCTCAAAATATTCAATTTTATAATATATTTTAACTTATATTATTTATAGATTGATATTATATTTCAAGTATATTTTTTAAAGTATGAATAACCTTTAAATAATTTATACTAATAAGTTTATACTAATAAAAAAATCTTTTTATTAAATTTTGTTGAATTTACATACTTGGCTATTGTCAATTGAGTGTAGCTTAATTTCTGGAAACCTATATAAAAATATATATATATATATATTTAATAAAAACATAAAACTAATAAAACAAACTTTTTAAAAATTTTACAACTTAACTAAATACTTTTTTTTTTAATTCTCATTCACTCCCAACAAGGCTGCAAGCAACCACTGTTAAGTTAAAAGTTACTGGGGAAAAAAGAAAAGAGTTATAAAGCAAGGAAACGGTTGACAGAAGACTTGAACAGCTGTAGTTTGTACGAGTCAAGAAAACATGAAGATATAAGAAAGGGTTTGAAGAGGGGAGAAAAACTAGACAAATAAATTTTTTTAGAGCATGCAGTGACAGATACGATAAACAAATGAGACTATACTGAGTTAAGAATCAAGTAAGTTGATGGAACTAGAGATAATAGCTCCTTTGAGCAGCGACCATGATAGTATTTGTAGAGAGGAGAACAAGATGCAACTTTAAGACGATGGGAAAAGCTTGGCAGATAAACCAGGTCCAACTATGTTTACAATGTATTTTTGGACCTAGGAGAAAAAGAAAATCATTAGAAGAACCAGCCCAAATATGACAACAGTATTAAATTAGGAGATTCGTAGAGGTAGAGTATGAAATCAGAAAGAAGACAAGCATGAAAAAGAAGCAGCCTTAGCAGATGCTAATTTAGCAATCGATTATACATATGGTTTCCATATAAGGTCAATAGTAAGTAATAATCCAAGAAGACACAAGAGAACTCAGAGAGAAGTTTGCCATTCATTAATATAGGAATGTCTACAGTATTGCCATAGTTGTTTGCAGTAATTAACTGAGTTTTGTTGGAGTTAAAATTCATAAGCCACTGCAAGCCCTAATCTGTTACAGAAGTGAGATCAGATTCAAAATTGGCTGACTGTCAAGACAGAAGTAATAATGCTGAGTGATCAGCAACAAGAGCTACTTTAGATGTTACAGCAATTAGCAAGTCAGCCATGAGTGAGAGAATTGAAAACCATATTGATTGTCTGACAGTAAGTTATTTGATTCAAGATGGGATGTGAGAAATTCGTTTATCAAAGACTTCAAGACTTGCTAATAACAGAAAGAAGGCTGATCAAATGACAATTGGAGGGGTCAGAAATGTCTGCCAGAGTTTTTTAAATTGGAACAACAGATGCTTTTTTCCAGCAGGCATGAAAACAAGACTCAGTCAAACACTAAATAATTTAGAGAAAATTGAAGAGTGTTCTGGAGAACAATTTTGTAAGACTGTGATAGAAATGTTACCACAAGCTGTATAAGAGTTTAATTGAGACTTTAGCAATGGAAATTGGAGTAATTTGAATATCCAACAATGGGTTAATTTGTTTAATTGGAATGAAAGGAGCAGAAATAAGATTCAAAAGTCGAATTAGAAGAACAGTTTATTTCATTTCAAATCAGCAGATTTAATTTAAAAAAACAATAACAAAAAAAATCAAAAATGGAATTATCTTGGAGAATTATTGAGATGAATACTATAAACAAAATTTTAATACTTTTACTATTTATATTAATGTATATAAATACTACATAATACTTACCATATTCCTAATCCTTTCATTAATCTCTTTTTAGCATCAACTTGCTTTTTGATAACCATTTCCTTTAAACCCTATATAAAAAATTCAATTAGAAAAGTATCAAGATTTTCTTATTATATTTTCTATTGTATTAAAAATTCATGTTTCATTATTCTTATACAAGATCTTATAATTCGCATGCAATAAATGAAACATCATAAGAACTATTATCGCAATTAAAAGCGATTATATATATCTATCTATCTATATATCTTATAGTGCTGATTTAGGTGAGCAGTGTGATGTCATATTGAAATAGCCTGCTGCAGGAGGCTTCAGTACATACATCGACTGACAAATAGCCCGACTCACAGCGGAGTGCTGCTATGACTGAGAATTTGGCATGGGACAGCAATCTGGGGGGCATAACCATCGATACTGAGAGGTATCAGGGCATGTCTCCCCCTCCATCTTTTTAACCTATTTTTATTCTTTTTTTATGAGATCTCCTCTTATACGTCTTGTTTCCAGCCTAACTTTGTCAATCTTTCAACAATGACAACACTATTGAGCGGTTTAGAGTGAAGTTAGTTACATTATTGCAGAAGATGTCACATTTTAGCACGTGTTGTACTGGGCGATAGTTGTGTTTCTGGCGGTTTTTATTTGTTGATTTTATATTTTTACACTAAAATTTGTTTATTTTACTATTCAACACTTATTATATATTCTATTTACAAGTAAGTTATCATTATTTTACAATTTTTTTATCATATTTAGGTAAATTTTGCAATTTTTTAAAATAATTGGTGTTTTTAAGGTATGGGCAAAGAGAAAGATATTTCTCCCACAAAACTAGGGCTTATTCAAGGATATTTGTCGAGTGGAAATCATTCCAACAGGCAAATTGCCAAGTGTGTAAATGTTTCCAGAGCAACAGTCGATAGGATTAAAAGAAAACTGGACAATAATCGATCACTAAAATTGAATAAAAGAAAAAATTGTGGACAAAATCGAATTACAACGCCTCGCACCGAAAGAAAAATAAGGGATATTGTGATAGAAAATAGGAGATAATCAAAAAAAGGTATAACAATATCCCTTGCAACACTTCGGAGAAGAATGGCGGAGCAGGGGTTTAAGGCCTGTAGACCAGCCAAAAAACCAAGGCTCACCCAGGCAATGAAGGATAAACGTCTCCAATGGGCTAAAAATCATCGCCATTTTACCACTGATGATTGGGAAAGAGTAAGTACTCAGTTTCTCTTCATAAACACATTAAAATTTAAACAAATACCATATTAAAAAAAAAGAATGTAAGTATTTCATCAAAAATATTAACCCAATTTTGAAAATTTTAGGCTTGCTTCTTAGATGAATCCACATTGGAAATTCTAATGGATAAAACTAATTTCGTCCGAAGAAGGACAGGTGAAATGTTCAATGAAGATTGTCTTGTGGAGAGGGTGAAGCACCCGCTAAAAATTATGGTCTGGTCAGTCATTAGTAGCCAGGGTACTGGAAGGTTATACATTGTAAAAAATACAATGCGGCAGGACCAGTAAATCCAAGTCTTGAAGGAAAGAATGATTCCTCAAGCGATGGAGTGGTATCCGAATGGGAACGATTCTGCTCCATGCCATAAGGCAAAAACTGTAACAAAGTTTTTAGAGGCTGAAAAAATCCATGTTTTACCCTGGCCAGGAAACTCGCCCGACCTAAATCCCATAGAAAATTTATGGGAATTGTTAAAGAGGGATATAAGTAAAAAACTTATAACAAATAAAAGAGATTTGATTGAAAAATTAATAAATGTTTGGCACCACAGCGAGGAAATAAAAAAAATTTGTCAAAACCTCATCAAAAGTATGACCAGAAGAGTTGAAGCCGTAATTGCTGCAAAAGGTGGCCACATTAAGTATTAGTGATTTTGTGTACAATATTTTGTATATCTTATTTATTTTTCCTAAATATACGTTACACTTCTATATTTTTGTCATTTACTATTATTTATATCCTATATTCCCAAAATAAATAGTTGTAAATTTAACTCAGTACAAAATATAGGGAAAATCAGCTTCAGAATATGAAAATTTGTAAAAATGTTGGGTGGCTCTAATTTTTTGAGCCACCACTGTATATTATATATAAGTATAAGTATATATATTATATATAAGTATAAGTATAAGTATGTAACATTTATACATATACATACAGTATCGCCTAAAAGTTTGCTGAAATAAAATTGAACATTACTACTACTTCAGCACTTACTTCACTTAATCCTATATTATATACCCAATATAATATTATAACCATTATAAAAATTACCTGAACAGCAACCAAATGTGCGGGCAAACCTTGTGTTATTAAACATGTCATGAGATTTTTACTGCTTTCATCAATTAATCCACTTGCAGGTACCACAAAAAGAAATGAATCAGCAACCTTTAAAAACAGCATAAAACAAAAATAAAGAAGAATGACGCACAACTTGATATACCAGTGTGCTTGAATTCTCACTAATTAATTTTTGCTTGATACTTTGATACTTGATTATCATAACTATTCCAAAAATAAAAATATAAAACTGAGAAATACTTTGTACAGAAACCCAAACAAAATAAAAAAACTGTTTTGGAACAACAGAAATACTAAAACAACCTTAGCAGCATCTAATATGGAATTTATCCCAGAATTATCCAAGTTTATAATGGTAATGCGATAACGATGTCGAGGAGATCTAAATAATTATTAAATAGATGTTACATAAATAGCAATAGTTGCTAAATACAAAACTAAAATAACATCTAAAATATAAAACATATCAAAATAAAATCATTTTATTTTAAAACATTTTGTTTAAATTTATATACATATTTTTTAGGGGGACTATAATAAATATAACTCAAATTATATTTGTGTTTATTTTATTATTCAAAATTAATGCTTTAAATTGAAATTGTTTCTCAAACTCTTTTTATAATAAACTACTTTAATATTTTAAAATGCGGGTAGAGAAAGTTCTAAAGAAGGTTGCATTTTTTTCTTTGAATATTTGTAAAAAAAGAAAATGCAGAAGCAAATTGATGAAGTCAGCTATTTCTAAAAAAAGGATTGGATGTTGTCTGTTTTTGAAAGAAAACTATAAAAGGATAGTCACAAATAATCTTGTTAAATGTTCTCTTAGAAGCAACATTTTAAGGTCAAGCTTCTGTGTTATCTCAATAATTAAAGAAGGCTTTGTTAAATTTCTAACAAAATTGTCATTTTACAATCCCAAGTTTGTTAGAAATAACAGATATTTGTTGTTTGAAAAAGTTCTGCTGCCAAGACTGGAGCAAATGCTGAAAAAATAACTTTACCCTAGTCAAACTTCTGTATTACATAAAAATTGTCGTTTTACTTGGAACTGCCTGTTTCATCCAAATTAAAGGATTATACAAACTAATCATTAACAGTAAATTAAAAAAAAAAATGACTCGATGAATCCATGAAAGAGTTAATTGTTTAAATAAATTAAATATATACACTAAAATTATAAATTTTCAAATTAAAACATTAAAAAAAAAAAAATTAAAACATTTTATAATCTAATTAAAAGATTAAAACAATGGCATGTTACTATCAGTTTGAACCAACTGCTGAAGTAATTCTCTAATGTCGGATCTTACTTGGAACCATTTATTATTATACTAATATTGGTGTCAGAAAACACTGATACTCCTAGAAAAAGCAAAAAGAACATTGAAAGTGTGAAAAGAGTGGAGGTAAATGTATTAGAAAATAACTTGTTTCTGGAGAATGAGGATAACCCCCATCTTGTTTTGTTGTTTTAGAGTTTGTCTTTGATTGCAGACATCCTAAACAACAGAAATATTTTTAATACAAATAAATAATAATTGATAATTATTCTTTTTAAATAACATTAACATTTTAATTACAAAAATGCATGGAAGATAACAAAGTGTAAACCAAAAAAGTCTTATAATTTTAACAACACAGTCAATATTTAAAATTCTCTGAAGTTCTAATTTTCTATTTTAACTTTTTATTTGTGCATTGTGAAAGCAGCAAACATTTCATTCTATAATTTCTATACTAATATCTTGATTTTTTTTTAAATCAAGTAAATTTTTCAAAGTTTTAAAAATGTGATTTCACATTCTTACAACAAGCTTAGTGTTTTTTATTACACAACAAAGTCATACATATTTTGTTTGTGTGCTTGCACCAGCACTGAGCAATTGTTCCTATTTTATCATAAACCATAATAAAATAAAATAAATAGCATATATCAATTTTAAATATTACAATTTTAAACTTTTTTAGTTTGTTTCTGTTCTAAACAAGTTTATTGAGTCAGGATTTTTTTTTTTTATTTAGCTCCAAATCTTAGAGAACTTATAGCTTGAATTAGACTGCCAGTTTCCCGCTCTTCATGCAAATGAATTAAAATTACATAATTTTTCACTACTAGACATGGTTAACTTTTTAATATCTTAAATGGAGCAAAAAATGTGACAGTATTTGTTCAACTTTTAATATATTCTTACTTTAAATTATTATTAAACTAAAACAAATTTTTAATCAAGTGTATTTCTTTTTTCATTTAAAGAACAAAAATCAAACTTTCAATAAGATCTGACAGTCTGGCATCAAAAATTGATGCCAGACTTTCAGATCTTAAGAAAAATTTAGGTGCTAAAACACCTCAGTCTTTCACAGGAAGACGTGTGATTGCACGTCTTTTTTGACTGCAGCTGTTTCAAAAAATATTTTAAAAACTATACTTAAAATAAAATAAATTACATCAAAACTTTTTAACAAATGATTTTACATTAGTAAAACCCTTTTAAATAAAGTAATAATTTACTGATGTTTTTTTTTATAAGTATAATCGACAGTTGCATATATTTTTTTAATTTATAATATATAAATTGTTTGTGTACATTTTTGATAATAAACGTTATTAAAAAATATATAATTTTGTTTTGTTAGTTAAAGTCTCGTTAACAAATTTTATTATAAGAATAATTAAAGTTAATACATTTAAAAAGAAATACAAAATTTCGCTGAAAAAAAAAAAGACAAATGTTTTAGAAAGCTGATACAATTAAATAAGTTTGATTAAACTAAATAAATTTGATCTTAATTATCTTATATTATTGAAACGCTTTTTAATGAAGTAACACAACACTTTTAATGAATTTTTATAATAAGTATTTATAAACTTTTGTTTTTTTTAAACCTTAGTCTTTATAATTTATCTATATAATTCCTTATCTTAAAACTGCCGCACGCAGTTGAAATGCACACTGTTGATATAAAAGTTTGAATTACAAAAAAATTAAATAAGCTCATTATTTACAAGTAGAAAAAATTCAGATTAAAAAAAAAGTTCAAATCTTTTTAAGCTAACATTTTAATAAAATTATTCAGCAATAGCAAAGTTGTTGATAAAATTGAACAAAAATACTTTCTTTTAGTTTTAGATTTTCAACTTAAATAATTATTTTATGGGGGTTTGTTAGGTTTTAAAATTATTCCATAGATTTAAAAATATTTATTAACTGTTAGACGTATTTAAAGTATTTATTTTTTTGAAAGTTTTCTTTTCATAGTAGAAAAAAATAAAAATGTATATTTTTTTAACTAAGTTTTTTTAATATCTTTTAAAATAATTGTTTGGCTTTGATTTGGGTCCAAGTATTTGTTTACCTTACCAATTTAAAGTTGTATGGTTTTATATTTTCAAATTTTTTATAATTAGTAAAGTCATTGGTATAGGCCTTTTCCCATCCATCGGCATTGGTATCGGCCAAAAAAGTGATATCGATACATCACTAGTAATAAGATCAAAATTTTTTTAATTTGATGACTTCTGTAGTAAAGAATAAACCTTATGTTATTTTCAAATGAGTATAGTAACTTTGAAAGTTAGGTAATTTATTCAACTCATGCACTTTAATACTAACACAATTCAAGTCCTTTTTCAATTGTATTTAAAGTATATAATTCTTTTATTTTTTATTTTTAAAAATTAGAAGACGATGATGACACTATAAAACAATGCACTAAATTTATCAAGAGTTTGACCTTTTCAAAAGATCAAACTCTTGATAAATTAGTTTAGTGTTTTTCTCCCATGCATCACACACGGTCAACTCGTTATGTTAAAGAACAAGATCGTTTAATAACTTATTTTAAAGAAATTAAAAAAAACCTGTTTGTCTTTATAATATAAAAAACCAGTTTGTTATATTGTTAGTTTTTTTAAAATTGCTAAATATTTATTACCAGGTATGTCATTAAACAAATAAGGTTGTATTTTACAAATGTTTCTAATTTATATATTTTTCTTAATTTCTATGTATAGTATTATATCTATGTGTTGTTTATTATATGTTTATATGTGTTAAGGTTATATGGGTTTATATTTTGTAAGAGTGTAAATATATTTTATATATAAAGTGTTTCTATGTTTGTGATGGATAATAATGTTATGTGTTTATAGTTTGTAAGTGGTTATTATGTTGTTTGCATGGTTTCAAATTGTTTTGACTTGACTTAGTTTACAACAAGATTGTTGACCTTGCTAGCCAAGTGGTGTACTTTACTATAATGTGACTTGGCTTTGTTGAGAGCAAGAATGTTGTCCATGCCAGTAATGTGTTGTACTATCATGATGAAACACAAATTAAATCTGTAGTTAGTGTAATCATAAAATGCATTGAAAAAATCTCGTTGAAAGAATGTGTTTTAAAAAAATGTTAAAAAGATATATAGTTTTTTAATATCTTTAAATTTTTAAATATTTATAATTTTAAGTAAATTTTATTGAAAAGATATATACTTCATTAAATATTTATATACTGTTGCTTTATAAGTAAATTTTGTTAAAAATATATATACTCTGATCCTTATTTGTTGACAATTTGCAATTATGTATGTTAATAAAAAAACTGCTTAAAAGATATATACTCTGTTCTTTTTTAAAAATTTATGCTTTTGATGATATATAAATTTTTTTTAAAAAACGAGCTTCCTGTTTTCCCCATATAAAAATTAATAAGCTTTATTTTCTTCATAAAATATGTTTAATTTAAATTCATTGTCTTTTTTATAAAGGTAAGTATACTAAGTGTTATAACATAAGTTTTGGTAACTTTCATTAAATTTTTAGGACTTTTTGTATAAAAAATGTTTTCTTCAAAATAATATTTTAATGTTATATATATATATATATATATATATATATATATATATATATATATATATATATATATATATATATATATACATATATATATATATATATATATATATATATATATATATATATATATATATATATATATATATATATATATATATATTTATATATATATATATATATCCTTATAGTGTTGTCGAAAGAGACTTTTATGGTAAAAAAAAAAGTCTCTTTCGACTACAATTTTTTTACCTCGTCTCTTAAGCTGCATTTTATTGTTGTCGAAATGTCAAAGCAATTAAATTGACCTTTTTTCTTTAAAATATTAAATATGAAAAAAAATTTAAATAGTTCAAGAAGTTTCAATACTTGAAGCAAAAGATTGTTCATAGAGGTTTTCTATTATTAGTTTTATATTTACTTATTGCAAATCTTGCATGAAGTACATTCCAAAGTAATGAAAGGGATTTTATGATGGAGGACCAGTAATATATTAATATTCAGTAATAATTATATGGGTCATAGTA